TCCTCCCGCTCCTGTTCTCCCATCGCCACCTCCGTCGTCCCTCGCTGTCTCCTCGGCTCCTCTCTCTGAATTCCTCCTTGAAGCTTATCCTCTTCTTCCTCGTATCCTCGCCTCACTTGTTACTGACCCGTCTGTTCCTGCCTCAAGTCTCTCGACTCTTGTCGCTGCTGTCGCTGACTTTGCCTCTACCTGCCGCCTTGACTACGCCACTGCTCTAGTCTCCGACCCTGCCGGTCCTCAGTCCCAGGGTCCCGAATTCGCCTTAGCGTAGTCCTTAGTTCCCCCACCTAGGGCGAACGTAGTCGATGGCCGGTGGTTCTTCAAGATGAAGTGCCTGCCAGGAGAGCCGCTGGTGTTCAAGGCGCGCTAGTTGCTAGAAACTCTAGTCAGCACGAGGGGGTTGATTGCTTCCACACTTTCGCCCCGACCCTGAAGATGACCACCCTTCAGGCGCTGCTTCACGTAGCAGCACAACGCGATTACGAGCTTCACTCATTTGACTTCTCCACAGCGTTCCTCCAGGGCAGTCTGGACGTGCATTCATACCTGCGCCGTCTGCCAAGCTTCTCTGGCTCTTTCCCCCCTGGGTCCAAGTGGTTCCTCCGGCGCCCGGTCTACGGTCTGCAGCAGGCGCCCCGTGAGTGGCACGACACGTTGCATGCTACACTAGCAGTGTGAGAGTACGACCCCGTTACACCAATTTCCCCTTTCCATATTTCCTTTCTCTTTCATTCCTCTCTTTATCCTGATTCATTTGGTCTTTATCTCATCTCATTTGGTTTCCTATTCCTCATTTTCCATTATCCTTTGGTTTATCCTGTTATTATAATTATATCACCGACCAGGCTCGGGATGTACTGGCGCGCTATATCTAGCGTAATCCTGCCGTAATCCCTTAAAGCCAATAGCCTCGCGCGGCTATACGCAGGGTGATTCTATTTCTAGAAGGGTCTATTTCCTTTGGATAGGATAAACCTGGTTACCTGATGTAATCTGGAAGTATAAAAGCCCCTTGTACTGATTGATAGGGCAACATTGAGCAAACCTTTCCTCGGGACATTCGATCCTCTGACACTTGGTAATCAGAGCCAAGATTTCAGCTCAACGCTTAACCGCTGGGCCCCCAAGAGCACGCCGAGGATGGAGTCGAAACTTCAATTCCTGTAAGTACAATGCACTTTCATTTAAGTTTCGACTCACCTCTCGCAGTTGCACCTGGGGTCCCCTTCGAAGGCGAGATGCCTCGCCAACCGTTTGATGGACTGCATCGACGGTGCCGATTTTTCGCGGGGGCAAACGGCCTCGACCTGGCGAGCGCGTGAGTTCCGGCGGAACACTCCCTGCAACATTCGGAGAAGTTCGCAGTTCGCGACAACACTTGGAGTTGTGCGGAACTCTGCGGAGGTTGGACCGACGACATCCGTCCGATGGGGATTCGACGCTTCAGATCGACCGAGGCGAAAACGAAATCCTGCTGAGAGAGTTCGAGTTTCAGTGCGAATGGGAACGGGACCTCGCAAGCTGCGAAGTTTTTCAGAGCGTCCGATCGTTCGACAGCCGACATCGACGACCGAGAATTGCTGCAGGAAACGAGTCCACCCGGACACCGACAGCTGCTGAACGTGACTCAGAATTATCCTCAGATCGCTTGGAGTTTGGACCGTCGGATGGACTTCTACTTCAACGGACGAGATGGAGCGCGACTTCTGCACGAAGGGAGAATGACGCGCAGAACCAGAAATTGGCCGCCTTTGACAGCGCTGACAACATCTTGACGACCAAATTCGGATTTCTCCATTTGGTCATGAATTTGGAGCGCGAATCATCTGCAATGTCAGTAATCTGCCAGACTATTACCTACTTGGTAATAGCTGCAAGCAGAAAACTGACAGGAGAACGTGGATCGTCGAATCGATGCAGAATCAACGGCACGAATGCAGCAGAGACTACACTATGGGAAATCATCATCATGGAGACAACATTCGTGACCAGCGACTCCACAATCGACGCATCTTCTGACTAGTGTGGATAACGATCGAGTTTTTTTGACGAAGTCATCTTCGTTAAAAATGGATCGACATCAACACAGCGAGATCTTCACCCAGGAAAAACAATGGAGCTGCGTGAAGACATGTTCTCCATCAATGACTCTTAATCTCATACAATTTGATCGACAACCTATGGGATTGCGGAGAAGTAACCGTTTTCTCTTGCAATGCTCCCAAGTTCAAGTTGCTACGAAGGAGCAGATTTCGCACGCAACGACGACGCAGTGAACCCATCTCGTCAAGGCCAGCGAGACACTACTTCGTAACAGGAGCTGACCGATTCGTCTTCATCAAGAATCTCAGCCATCCGAAGTGATTGATTGGAGCAGTCTCAACATCGACCTCACGAGGCGACAAACCAATCATGCGTCGCGATTCCAGGTGTTAATGACCTGCGTGGAAGAAAATTCCGTGCATGTCACGATGCTTGACAGATTGAGGAGTAATTAACC